TCAGGCTGATCTTGAACTCCTGACCTCAGGTGATCCACCCACCTCAGCTTCCCAAAGTGCTGGGATTACAGGTGTGAGCCACTGTGCCCGGCTCCTATATATCTATTTTTATACCAGTACCGTGATGTTTCGGTTACCATATCATTTTTTTTGTTTGTTTTGAGGCAAGGTCTCACTGTGTCACCCAGGCTGGAGTGCAGTGAGGCAATCATGGCTCACTGCGCCTTGACCTCCCAGGCTCCAGTGCTTCTCCTACCTCAGCCTCCCGAGTAGCTGGGACTACAAGGTGCATACCACCATGACCAGTTAATATTTATATTTTTTGCAGAGACAAGATTTCGCCATGCTGCCCAAGCTGGTCTCCAACTCCTGGGCTTAAGTAGTTTTCCTGACTCGGCCTCCCAGAATGCTGGAATTATAGGCATGAGCCACTGCGCCCTGCCTACTCTATCCTTATAGTATAGTTTGAAGTCAGGTAATGTGATGCCTCCAGATTTGTTCTTTTTGCTTAGGATTGCTCACAAAGCTATTTTGATTGTAACTCGTTATTCAGCAAGAAGAGTTTATAATAAATGATTTCTTTAGTTAAAGAAGGAAGAAAGTTTAAGGAATCCTTTGGGAGGTAACAGACCTTGTCAATAAGCAAGCATTGAAATAACTGATAATTATTCATTAACCAGATAAAAAGAAGGATAAAACAAAAAGAGCCCACATTTTCCTCAATGCAAGATGATGATATGTGGTCTGTGGCATGTGCTTATATGAAGGTCATTCCTGGCACTTGCAAACTGCATTATTTAAAAACAGAAAAAAAAAAAAAGAAAGAAAACCCAGCTGTTAGGACAGAAACACTACTCAGAATAGCTTAAGCAGTGAAGGAGATTTATTGACCCAAATAGCTGGGAAGAGCAGGAGTGGAGTGAGTTTTAACTAAATGGTATAGAGATTCTAATTATGTTGTCCAGACTCTCTCGTTACCTCCTAGCTCTGACTTCCTCTCTTTGCAGATCCTCTTCTCGTGTAAATAGCTTTCTTCCAAGTGGTGGTGATGGTGGTGGTGGTAGAGGGAGCTTTGTCAGGAGGAGGAAGACAGTGACAGAAAGCTTCAGAATTAAGTCACTCCAAAGGAAAGTGAGAACTTTCTTCCCCCAAAGGCCTTCCCCTCTGAAATAGCCCTGTAAGTCATTTATTCTTTATTTAATCAAGTGTTTCCTGCATAGCCTTTATCACAAATTATCTCCTTTATTTAAGTGCTTGCCTGATTATGTTTTTCCTTCTGACTACAAGGTAAAAATCTATCAGAGCAGTAACGGTGCCTATTTGTTTCATTACTGTAGCCCCAGCATCTAGTAGGCACTCAGGAAATAGTAAACAGCAAATATATAAAATTCCAGGAAGGGACTCAGATCCTCCTTGAGCCACTTGTCATTATTGTGGTTTACAGGGTAGGGTACTGTGATTGATATACCTACTAGAGTCCCACAGAATAGGGAAATGAGTTTACCACAGGTAATGGAGATACCATTAGCTAAAGGAATTGGGAGAAGATGCTGAACAAACAACCAAAAAATATCTGTCCACCCTATATGTTTTATGTTCTTTAAGCACAGCTTCATATTTTAGCCAGCTGCTTAGTCTGATGTGTAAGGTTATGCAGATTCTGCACTGCATGAAGGTGCTTGTTTAAACATGGGCTAAAATCCAGCCCAGACCTCTACTCACAGGGGTTCCTTTTTCCAGGAGGCATTCTGTTTTTAATTTTATACACATTTGGATGGTCTCTATGTGCAGTATGCCTGGTTGAGTATCCATCTCTCCATCTAACCTTCTGAATAGCTTATACTGAATGAAGTAAGAATACTAGGAGCAAAAGGATGACCTGAACGTGTCTGTGCATCTGGACCCTGCTGGCCAGCTCAGTGTTGACTATGTGCTTAGCCATGTTCTGCACATATTCTGAGAGATGACTGGTCTTGGGAAATTCTGAGAGATGAGTGGTCTTGGGAAATTCCCCCTTGTTTTCTTTCCCTCCTCTCCATTTTTCTGCCTAGTCTTGCTAGTTGGTTAGGTTTTCAAAGCACAGATTTTGAGCTTTCTGAACTTGAGTGGCTGAATGGTGAAACTGTCATCTCTCTTTCTTGTTTACCTACACTTCCCTGCATTTCCATTTTTAATCATCCTGATAATTCTGCATCAGGAGGAAGATGTTCCCTGTCACTGGTCCTCCTGTGGAATAGACCTGTCTTATAGCTCAATCCGTTTGGGGTTTGTTTTGTATTTTATTTGATTAAAGATCTGTTGGGGCAGTGAAATACACTATTTTTAAAAAAGGTGACTTGAAGAAACAGACACCCCTCCGTCTAACTCATGTAAGGCTGCAGGGAATCTCCGAAGTTCCAGATGTATAGCTGAGCCTTTCATTACATGGAAGGCTCTGTGTTCCTCTCTCTCTTTCTGGGACTGTGTGGTTTCATCTCTGTTTCACTCTGGCCATTGGTTTCATTAATTTGATTTTCTTTAAACACCAACTTCCTCTGTACACTGACCAGCCTATAAGTGACAAAAATGGCAACTAGTGCTTAATCTCGTCATTGTATTCTCAGTGCAAGTCCACAGGAAGTCTGCACCATAATCATCACATGGAGAAGTTAAAAAAGATTTATGGGCCTCAAACACACATTCTGAAGTCAGTAGGTCTGGTGTCCTGGAATCTCTTTTAAGAAGGAATTCCCAGATCCCAGACCCCTCCATAAGCACGAGAGAGGAGAGAAAAGGAGGGTGAGTAATGAAATTGATGAACCAGGCCCTAGCACCCACTTATGTCCTATATAGCTCCTTCGCTTTCTCCCTTTGCCACTCCTTGCTATTGATCTTCTTGTCCAGAGAGGAGACAGATATTGAAGATATTGGAAACAAACAGTGAGGAATATAGACATTTTCATTAAAAGCAGCAATAGTAGCAGCAATAGTTCTCAGTCTAGCTTTGTAGGTACACAGTCCAATTAGGTGGTGGGGCCACCCATCCCTTATCAAATCAGTGTCAATTTTTTGGTTTTGGATGCTCTTGGAAGTATAAGACAGGCCTGCGTGTTTCTGAGAAACACCTGATAGCTTGGAAAGCCTTCCCAGCCATGGCAGCAATTGTCAGGCTGTCTCTCTGGTCAAGTGGTGGGTGACCTTGCAGCTTCAGTGCCCATCACTCTGATGTGCCACAGTTATGTATCTATGCCTTTTAGTTCAAAGTCTTCAAAGACAGTCTAGTCACTGAATGGCTAGTCGGGGCCTACTCTGGGATTATGGGCCAGAGCAGACAGAACGGTGAATGGACAGAGCAGGGCAAAAATTAGTGCATGACAAGCTTTCTTCTGCCTGGCTTGCAAAGGGAGGTGCAAGTGAATATTTGCAATTTCTTTTTTGTTTTGTTATTCCTAAATGATAGAAGGATTATATTCTTAAATACAAAGAGTTTTTATGTTTCAGAACTACAAATATGACTCCAGCCTCATTTTAAATGTGAAATAAATGCCCTATACAGTATTCAGGATACCTACCAAGTATTTTATAGTAAACATCATCCCTGTTTCTTCACATCTTAATAATAAAGTGTCTATTACGTTAAGTTGTAAATAAAGTAATACGGTTTATTATTTAATGTTTAAAGTGTAATGCCACATATCTTACTTTTGTTGTGTACTGACGTATGCAAAGGATGCAGCAATTTGATTCTAAGTCCTTGCAATAGTAATAAAAGCCATTACTTTGTTTACAGCATTTGTCCACTGTGGGATTTCAGAGGTAGTTGAAGACCTTACGTGGATTGATCACATAAAGTATGCAAAGATAAGAAATACTTTTAACCAAGCTTGAGCCCAAAAATAGCTTTGTATTATATTTCTGTACACCAAGCAGTTGTATGGCACAAAGCAGTTATATTTCAAGCTCACAAAATATAATATTAATATCTTAGGGTTGGTTTAAGAACATGTGTGTTCCATGCCTTTATGAGAATTTAAGTATCTGTCTTGATACTTGAAACTATCTTGTGTATCTGATTCTTAAAAATTATTTTATTTTTCCAGATTCAGTCCTTCTGTGGAACTTCTGAAGGTCTTTTATTAGTGGAAATATTTTCTACACAATGAAGTCAACAACTTAATTTAAACCAGTGTTTGTGTGGCTCTGATTCATCTGCTGTGGTTCACGAAGCTTGAGATCTAAGGAGTACAGGGTCTTTTGCAATGACAATATGACTAATAGTAAAGGAAGATCTATTACTGACAAAACAAGTGGTGGTCCAAGTGGTGGAGGAGGTTTTGTAGATTGGACTTTAAGTTTAAACACAATTCAATCTGACAAGTTTTTAAATTTACTCTTGAGTATGGTTCCAGTAATTTACCAGAAAAACCAAGAAGACAGGCACAAAAAAGCAAACGGCATTTGGCAAGATGGATTATCAACTGCAGTACAGACTTTTAGTAATAGATCTGAGCAACTCATGGAGTATCACAGTTTCTCAGAGCAGTCTTTTCATGCCAATAATGGGCACGCATCATCAAGCTGTAGCCAGAAGTATGATGACTATGCCAACTATAATTACTGTGATGGAAGGGAGACTTCAGAAACCACTGCCATGTTACAAGACGAAGATATATCTAGTGATGGTGATGAAGATGCTATTGTAGAAGTGAGCCAAAAATTACCAAAGGAATCCAGTGGCATCATGGCATTGCAAATACTTGTGCCCTTTTTACTAGCTGGTTTTGGAACAGTTTCAGCTGGCATGGTACTGGATATAGTACAGGTGGGTTTTCATCTTTGTTTAACTTTATCATCTTTTTTGTTATTCCATTTCTGTTTAAAATGCTTTATGTAGGTTACTACTCTCAAACATTTACTTTAGATTTGATTTACCCCTTGTTAAAATGAACAGATGCTGACTCTGGTAGAAAATCTATTTCTAGGTAGGAGTTATTCTTTTTTCCCCTTTAGCAATTCTGAAAGAATAGTTATTCAGACTGTAAAGTAATTCTTCTCTACAGACCCCAAAATAGCTTGGTTAAAAGAAAAATTTCCCAAGAATGTTATATTTACATGCTTTCTTTTAAAATGAAAATGAATATATACTTAATACCCTCTATTGTTTGAAATGAATACAAACAATAGAGGGTATTAAGTAAAACAAGAAGTTTCCTTTATTTCTTATCTCCAAATCAAAACTCTCCTCCCCTCCAGAGATTATCATTGTGAAGAGTTTGTTGTATGTGCTTGCAGGCTTTTTTTCTATGCTTACATGTATACATATGAGAGTTTTTTCAAAAACAAAAATGAAATGTTATATATTTTTTCTGCAACTTGTTTTCATTGCTTAATAGAATATCTCTCCAAATTGGTACACAAAGATTTTCAGCATTTTAAACTGAGTGCATGATATTCCATTGTATGTATATACCCAAATGTACTTACTCATTCTTCCTTGTTGGAGCTATAATAACTATCCTTATAAATATAAGGATATATATTTATATACCTATACTAATATTTTCATAGGATAGATTTAAAAACAGCATTGTTGGATATTAGGGTACATTTTAATATATATGTTAAAATTTTGTAGATACTGTCAAGTTGCATTCCAAAAAATTTCTCCCAATTTATACTCTTACTGTCAAAATAGAAGTACTTTTATTTTTTCATTTTCCAATCAACATTGGGTGGTTTTTGTTTTTTTGTTTGTTTTGAGACAGGGTCTTGCTCTGTGGCCCAGCTCACTACACCTTCAACCTCCTGGGCTCAAGTGATCCTCCCAGCTCAGCCTCTTGAGTAGCTGGGACTATAGGCACACTACACCTCACTAATTAAAACATTTTTTTTTTGTTTTTTTAGAGGCAGGGTCTTGCTGTGTTGCCCAGGCTGCTCTCAAACTCCTGGGCTCAAGCGATCCTCTCACCTTGGCCTTGCAAAGTGCTAGGATTACAGGTATGCACCATTGTGCCCCGCCAACACTGGGTCTTCTTGATCTTTTTCATATTTGCCAAATGGCAGGAAAGTGTTATCATATTTTAATTAACATTCTTTATTATTAATGTTTAGCATTGGCCATTCTTTTTCTGTGAATTATTTTTTGTATCTTTTATTTATTTTTAAAATTTGTGTGCTACTTATTGATTTGTAGGTATTCATTTTTTTTTTTTTTTTGAGATGGAGTCTAGCTTTGTTGCCCAGGCTAGAGTGCAATGGTGTGATCTCGGCTTACTGCAACCTCTACCTCCCAGGTTCAAGTGATTCACCTGCCTCAGCCTCCCAAGTAGCTGGAACTACAGGCTCACGCCACCATGCCTGGCTAATCTTTGTATTTTTAGTAGAGATGGGGTTTCACCATGTAGGTCAGGCTGGTCTTGAACTCCTGACCTCAGGTGATCTGCCCACCTCAGCCTCCCAAAGTGCTGGGATTATAGGCAAGAGCCACCAAGTGAGCCGATTTGTAAGTATTCTTAATGACTTATGGCTACCAAATACCTATTATATAATTATCTTTCTAAAGTAATAAATTGCCAAAATGTGGCATTTTGTTCTGTCAGTTTTTGTTTATCAGTCACAGAAATGTTGACTCTGGGAAAGTATTAGGCATATTATCCTGTAATGTGCTCTTATCTTTCATTGTTTATTCCCTAAAGGAACCTCAGGTTATTTGTGACTTTAAGATGCTATTCAAGAGGTAACATGTTTATCCAAATGGAAAATGTACATAAATAGAAACATTTTTCCACCATCGGATGGAGAAAGGATATGAGAGGAACTGTATTGCAGTACATTAAATTTATAAATAGATAATAATACCAAAGAGAGATCAAACCTGCATCCGCTTGAAATATAATTGTTTTAAGTACTTATAGTAATATCACAGCTGTGACAATAAATAGGCTGATTTGGTCCTGATTTTTTCTTGTTATACTAATTATTCTGAAGAAACACTCAGTATTTATGGAATGGTAACATCTATAGGACTAAGGTATTAGAGTATAGATTAGCAGAATTTACAAAGCTCCTTATGTATCTGGAGTAATGTTGGCTTCTTGATACTGAGAGAACAGCACACATATAATTGTAAAAAGTTCCTTTTATGATTTTATGAACTTTTACAGTGCTAACCTGAAGGATTTTATAATGTTAAACTTTAGTGTTAAACATCGTAGAAGCATAATATAAATATTTTTTAAAGATTTTATTTGAATGTGCTCTTTTAAACTTTTTAATTGAAATGTAATACATCTAGAGTATACAAAACAAAAAATAGAGCTCAGTGAATTTTTTTTTTTTTTTTTTTTTTTTTTTTTGAGATGGAGTCTCGCTCTGTCACCCAGGCTGAAGTGCCATGGTGTCATCTTGGCTCACTGCAACCTCTGCCTTGTGGAACCAAGCTATTCTCCTGCCTTAGCCTCCCACGTAGCTGGGATTACAGGCGCCCACCACTATGCCTGATTAATTTTTGTATGTTTTTAGTAGAGGCTGGATTTTGTCATGTTGGCCAGGCTGGTCTTGAACTCCTGACCTCAAGTGATCTGCCTGCCTTGGCCTTCCAAAGCGGTGGGATTACAGGTGTGAGCTGCTGCGCCCAGCCAAATTTTCATAATGTAAACAACCACTTAACTATTAACCAGCTCAAGAAATCTAATTTTGCCAGTACTGCTTCTTTAGTCCTCCTTGTGCCTTCTTCCAGCTGCTGCCCTTTTTGTCTCCAACACCAAAGGTAATCACTAATCTGATTTTCTGATAAGCACCTCCTTGCTTGTCTTTACAAGTGTGTATCCCTAAACAACATAGTTTGGTTTTACTTGACCATGTAATGGAACTTTTAAACTATGTAATGGAAGTATAGAATATGTTTTTTTTGTGTGTGTGTGGCTGTTTTTCCCTCAACATTATATAAATTTCATGAAACCGTAGTTTATTTCCATTGCTGGATAGTAATCCATTATATGAATATACTATACCATAATTTATCCATTCTGCTACTGATGGACATTGGGTGGAATGGTGCTTCCGGACTCTTGGAGCACATATGCATGGATTTCTTTTGGGTATATATGTAGAGATGGAATTGCCAGGTCTTAGGATGTGGAGATACTCAAATTTAGTAGAGGTCATATGATTTTCCGCATTGGTTATACCAATTTACAGTCTAATTAGTAGAGTATGAGAGATCTTAATTCTCTATATTCTTATTTCTACTTGGATTCAGTAGTCTTTTTATTTTTAGAAATTCTGGCACATGGAGTGGTATCTCATTGTGGTTTTAATGGATATTTCTGTGATGACTAATGATGTATATCAACCATTTGGATATTACTAGTAAAGCTTATTTTGCCCATTTTTTCTATTTGTTTTTCTTAGGGATTTATGGGAGCTATTATTTGTTTCTCTTATAGATTTGTAGGAGTTATATTTTGGACATGAGCCTTTTACTGCTATATATTTAAAACATCTTTTCTCTCCTCTGTGGCAGAAGTTCTTAATTTTGAAATAGTTATTTTCCTCTTACTTTTTCATGATTTGTGTTTCATGTCTATTGTGTAAGAAATCTTCCCATACCCTGTGGTAATTAAGATATTCTATTGCATCACTTGGTTGAAGCTTTTTTGTTTTGCTTTTACATTTAGAACATTCCCTCCCTGGAATGGATTTTTGTGTAGAGTGTGAAATTGGGGTTATGTTTGGTTACTGGTTTCTTGAGGTTTTCTATTTCTTCATGGCTCAGTGGTTGGATGTATCCAGAATTTATCTTTCTTGCAGATTTTTTAATTTGTTGGCATATAGTTGTTCATAATAGCCTTTGATGATTCTTTGCATTTTTGTGGTTTCTTTTGTTGTGAATCATTTTTCATTTCTGATTTTACTTATTTGGGACTTCTCTTTTTTTTCATAGTCTAACTAAAATGATTTTATCTATTCAAAAAAAACAACTTTTTGTTTCATTGATCTGTATTTTTTAGTCTGAATTTCACTATTTCTGCTCTGATCTTTATTTTCTTTCTACTAATTTGGGGTTTGGCTTATTCTTACTTTTCTGGTTTCTTGGGATGCATTGTTAAGTTGTTTATTTGAAGTGTTCCCATTTTTTTTTTTTTTTTTTTTNTTTTTGAGATTGAGTTTTGCTCTTGTTGCCCAAGCTGGAGCATAACGGTGTGATCTCAGCTCACTGTAACCTCCGCTTCCCACGTTCAAGCGATTCTTCTGTTTCAGCCTCCTGAGTAGCTGGGGCTATAGGTGTGCACCACCACGACTGGCTAATTGTTTTGTATTTTTAGCAGAGACGGGGTTTCACCATGTTGGCCAGGCTGGTCTTGAACTCCTGACCTCAGGTGATCTGCCTGCCTCGGCCTCCCAAAGAGCTGGGATCACAGGTGTGAGCCACTGCGCCAGGCCAAAGTTTTCCTATATTTTGACAGAATATATATTGTTATAAACTTTGCTCTTAATACTGCTATTGCTGTATTCTGTAGATTTTGGCATATTTCCATTTTCATTTGTTTCAAGAAAATTTTAAATTTTAAATTTCCTTCTTAATTTCTTTATTGACTCATAGGTCACTCAAGAGCATGTTGTTTAATTTCTACATGTTTGTGTAGTTTCTGAGGTTCACCTTCTTATTGATTCTAGTCTTACTCCATTGTGGCCTATAGAGATACTTGTTATGATTTTGCAGCTTAAGATACAATCTATTCTGGAGAATGTTCCACATGCTGATGAAAAGAATGTGTCTTCTGTAGCAGTTGGGTGAAATGTTCTCTAAATGTTAGTTAG